TTGTGTCCCGATATTTTCTTCCTGTCATCTGGTCACCCTATTTATCTGTAACATTAGCATTTACTTATCTGTTTCTAGTGACAGTCACACACCCTTAACATTTCTGGATTGTGTTCAAACTATTTATGAAAGTGCTGAAAGTGCAATCAAAGGGTAGGTCTACACTTACCTCCGGGTCCGGCGGTAAGCAATCGATCTTCTGGGATCGATTTATCGCGTCTTGTCTAGATGCGATAAATCGATCCCGGAAGCGTTCGCCGTCGATGCCGGTACTCCAGCTCGGCAAGAGGAGTATGCGGCATCGACGGGGGAGCCTGCCTGCCGCGTCTGGACCCACGGTAAGTTCGAACTAAGGTACTTCGAATTCAGCTACGTTATTAACGTAGCTGAATTTGCGTACCTTAGTTCGAAGTGGGGGGTTAGTGTGGACCAGGCCAAAGAAGAGAAGTTTATATCCATTTATCCAGCATACCTACCTGAGGGACAAGTTTTCAGAAGGCTGTGTGCAAAAAAACATGCATACATTTGCGCATGCTCAAACACATGCGTGTATTTCCGCCAACTTGTCCCCTAATATTTCTGGCAAAGGGAAGGATGTTCCTGTCACAGGATTTCTTTAGCAAGACTATACTAAAGATGGTTGGAATTCATAAAATACTTTTGATCCAGTGTGCTCCTTATGTATTAAAATTATCATGATAATATGGTGGAAAAAACCGATTTTGTTTATAAATGGTAACTTGCAGTGTCCAAATATTGCCCTAGAATACAGAGGAACCAAACCTATACTCTCAAACTTTTTCAAGCAATGTCCAGTTTACAGTAGCATATTTAATTTATCAATTAATTACAGATAATTTAGCAAATGTGTTCATACGCATACTAAAATAACCTAGCAAATTATTTTCTACTCCAGAACATCTAGAATGTCTTCTGATGAAAATACAACTGTATTAAAATCTGTTTCAAGCAATATTTTGTACTTTAATGTACAAGAACTGGGAAACCCAAAAGGTGAACTCGACCCCCTCCACCAATACAGACACACAGACCTTGTGTCAAAACACAAATTAACATTTCTTCCTCTCCTCAACACCCCCCTTTAAAATGGTCTCCTGCGACATGCATCATAATAATTAGTGCTATTAAAAACTGAAAACATGCCCCTTTTGACAAAATGAACAAACTTTTCCAGAGGACACATGGGCTTGCTGGAATGCATGTTATGCTCCCGGCAAAACAAGGTCTGGAATGTGACATCAAACCCATTATATAGGATGCGGATAAAGTGTTCTCTGGGTTTTTTCCCATCCTGCCACAACTCAAAGACTAATCTGGCTGCAAATCTTGGAAACCTGGCTTCTGTAATGCCCAAGGCACTGAGAACAGGTGACAAGGTTACATCATGAGCTGAGTAAAGGACAAATAATTCTTCTTTCTTGCCTTCTGCAATGCGCTGCATCCGGTTAACAGTCTGATTAAGGAGAGGATGAATAGCCAGTAGTGCATACCAGAAATAAAGTTTCTTTTCTTGTCTTTCTCTCTCATCCTCTAACTGGTGTGTCTTAATTACCTTAAAGTGTTCAATGTCAATGCAGCCATTTTTAGTACAAGGGAAACTGACATTGTGGCAAAAATGGCACAACATAGAATCTATTGGGTTAGAAGCTCTTAATTGCCTAGTGGGAATGCCTACTATTTTTGCCATATCCACATATGTTCTCTCCAAATGGCTGTTTTTCACCCTTAAGCTATACTGGCGGCGTTGCTCCTCTTCTAGGTAATGGTTTCTCATTGGGCAATCACAGCTTCCAGAACAAAAGATAGTGCTCCACTGATGTTTTATGTTAATTTTCTTCCAATCAAAATCTGGAAGGAAAGTATACAGAAGTGCTAGCCCACTCTGCAGGGTTCGACTTTTTCCTGTTGTTTCCAAGTAGAGATGCTTTGCTGTCCAATCACTTGATAGCAGTTTATGTTTCTTTATATAAATTTCCCGTAATAGCTGTCCATTATGTAAGTGCTGTACAACACCTAGGAGAGATTCAAAAAATCCTGTTATCAGTGTTCAGATAAACGGGTTCTGGGAAATGTCTAGAACTTTGATATTTTTGGAAAATGACAATTTAGCAGTTTTCTAACATGCACAAATTAGTTAAAAAAATGTTGATCTTACCCAGGAATCAAATTTCACTTAAGCTTGGCTAGTATCCAGGAAGATATCACAAAGTTCCTGAATAATAGCCAAGCTTAAGTGAAATTTGATTTATATATATATATACACACACACACACACACACACACACACACACACACACCTAAATCTGAAATATAGGTTAGCTCTGTATACTCTTCAGTGTAGATAGATAGTTCTATAACCTTTAATAATAAAGCAGCTCATTCATGAGTAGTACTGGATATAGAACTTTAAAATAATTGAACAGGAAAGCAAGTCTGATGATCTATGAAAAATACTATGTGGTTTATAAAATGGATCCACATTCAGAGATTAACTCCGTTTCCAGGAGAAATTTGTTAACACAGTGCTGCTTGCACAGATAAACAGCCACACAGTTTCAGAACAGCCCTTAAGAAGTGCATGTCACAAACCTGGAATGGGTTAGGGGAGCATAAGCTGGTATACAGACTCTCAAACTAGGGAAAGGAAATCAAGTCCCAACGACCAGCCTCTTCCCATTCTTTCTTCAGAGCTTGCTTTATTTCCAGAACCAAAATTCAAAGCCGGCACAAATCAACTCATACTACAGAATAACACCCTCCACATCTCAGGCCTTTACAGCTTCAGACGGCTGGGAAGGGAGAAGTGCCACCCTTCCCCTACAGTAGGCTCCTTTGCAACAGACTCCTTTCCTTTTACAACCCTGTCCAGCGCAGCCAAGTGATGGGCAAGAACTCAGTTACTTTTGCATGCCAGAGCACCTTTACACGTTGTCACAGGGAGCGTCAGTTCTGGATACTAACTGACCCATACAGCCGACGTACGAGTCCCGGAATGGGGTAAAGTTAGATTTAAGATTGATGTATAGGTTACCCTGCTGCATGGCAGAAATCCTGGGATAGCTTTGCAGATTCCTCAAGAGGGGTGGTATTGCAGGGGCTGAGGCCAATGTCACTCAGCGACTGATACCCATGAGGAGGAGGATTCTTTTGATTTGACTCCGGAATTTACGGCTATGGTGACAGCCACAGGGCCACCCCAGCTGGTTTCTGGTTTTACAAATCTAGCTGGCCACAATCTGGATCTAGTGCTAGGAATGGGTCTGGAGAAGTTATGATTACACTTTCAGCAATGACTGGCCAACTAGTTATTGTTTCAATGATCCACTCCAAGGTGATCGATGAGATCTGACAGGCTCCAGAAGGTTGAGGGAATTTATTGTGGTATGACTGACCATTATCAAAAGTCCGATCAGTGGAGACACTATAGCTGGTGCTTCCTCAATACAGAAAGGAGGCAGCTGCTGGCATTCTCCACAGAGGCTCCTCAACTCTACAATGTGTTTGCCACCCTCTTTGGCCAGAGCCCAGATTTCTCCTTCCAGATACATTGCAAAGAACTCCATTTTTCATAGGTATTTGGGGGAAGAGATAGAATTAAGGTATAATGATGTTATGGGGCAGAAATGAAGAATGTGCAGGTGGTCCACAGTGTACTCCTGGGGGAATTTTGTGCCACTGCGCAATGTAGAATTTTGAATAAATTAATGTTGTGCGTGCAGAATTTCCTTTTTTACCCATAGAAATGGGCTGCAGAGATGTTGGCTGCCACTAGGAGCTGCTGGACCTGGCAGAGCCCAGCTCCCAAATAGAAGACAAGGCTGGGGGAAGAGGGTGGGAACTGGAGGGTTCCCAGCAGTTGCAGTTCCCAGCACGCCCTGAAGGAAAGAGACAGCAGCACACAGGAAACTGTGCAAGCCTGGGACCCAGCATCAGTCTGTTTCTTCCTGTGGATCTCTGGGAGGGTAGGGTAGGGTCTGTGAGTGTCTGATCCGGAGTGGGGGGAGGCAGCTGGCCACTGGGGAGTGGTGTAGGGCTAGGGGTTGTGAGTGTCTGGGCTTTGGGGGGGAGGAGGGGAGCGGAGCAGCTAGGCCTCTGGGGGGAGTGGGGGTGTGAGTGCCTGCACTGGGGAGGGGCCACTGGCTGGGCTCTGCGGGGGAAGCGGGCAGGGAAGAAGGAACTGGGTTGACATAGGGGTTTCTTTAACTCTCTACTTCTGGGGAATTTTTGTGTGTCTGTATTGTTACAGACATACTTGCTGAGAGGTATTTTGAAATAAATTACCAAAATAATTGAAACTGGTGTGATTATGTAGTGTTATTTTGACAAATAAAATTTGCAGAATTTTAAAATATTGTGCGCAGAATTTTTAATTTTTAGGCACCAGATTCCCCCAGGAGTAACAATGGATATGAATGGTTCAGTATTGTTTTAAATATTGTAAAGGGAGTCCAGAGCATGGAGGTGTGTGCTGATAGTGTGTTTTTTAGAAAGCAAAATAAATCCATATATGGAGGTAAGAAATCTGACAACAGCAAAACTAATTCCTTGCTCACAACCACATTTCAACCCAACTGAGTAATGACTCCTTTCCCTAAGTTTATAGATAGGGATTTTGTTTTGTTTTGTTTTATAAGGGCTTTTGTTAATTTTGGAGGAAAATATTTGGACAGCAAATAAAAATAAATGTACAAACAGGGATTGTAGCTTATACACAACGGGTGCTATACATTGACCAGAATTGATAATACACATAAAATACACAAATATATTTGAGGACCTGAGTCCAACATGTTTTCATATATCATGTGATATATACACTTAATTTTTATTACAATAGTGAGGATAATGTATCTGGTTGACCTAAACTGTAACATGGTTTTACAAACAGGAAATGCATGATGGTGTAATATAAAGGTTTTATCAGAATAAATGAGGGACAGAATGTTACGCACAAGGAGTGAAGCCATGACAGAGTTAAGCAAACAATCCCCATTTGCTACCAATGAAAGCTATACACTACATAACAAAGCCACCATGTGTCCTATACATGTCATATTTTAGAGCCAAGCTAGTTCAGGAATGTTTTAGAATGGTTAAACAATTTATTGGAATTCCTTTTTAATCCCATCATCTGTAAAATTCGGCTCCCTTCATATCAACTTAATCCAATTGAACAGAACTCAGAAAGAGAAAGAAAAATAAACTCATACATTAAAAGCCCCTCATATAATCTAAAATAGAGTTTCCATTTCCATACCGACAAGTGCCACAATTTGACATGTGCTCTCTCAGGATCTCCCTGGGCTAGAAGCAGCAACTTCATCACAGGGGAAAATTGTCAATTAAATCTTGCCAATCATTTCTAAATTTGATGGATCATAAGATATTGAACTGTAAGCCTGCTACCAACTCAGCATTAATTATTCTTCCTGGATGTTGGACTAATGTACATTTTTAGGGGGTGCAGAGAGGAATTCCATGTTTGGGAGAGGAAGGAAAAGGAAATAAGGTTGATTTTTTTTTAAATGGCAACTGTTTGCCGTTCTGAGGTTTAACATGTTAGAATTAGTCTCAACAGTGATGCATTAGTAGGCTGAATGTAGGCAAGGTATATGACACTATCATGACTGTGTGTGGTATATGCAATTTTTGACATGGCCATATCCCATCTACACTGGGACTGGAAACAAAGTTAGCTGGCAGAATCATTTTTCAACATGGTTCTACTTAATACACACTGAATTCCTATCTAAACAGGGCCACAGAGCCCTGGAAGTGGACTATGTTTTGTTGGAGACCGAGAAGAAGGTACAGGAACTTACCTGTCTGTGTAAGTTCTCCCATTTCACACAAAGAATGACTGGGGTAACGAGGCAGGCTGCTCAGGGTGCCATCCATTTGGGCTTCTGAGCCTTGGGACATATGCCTAACAAAAGCTTCAAGTTGAGGGTGAGACGGCTTCCTGAAGAGGTAAACCAAAACATAAACACTCTCGTAAGTGAATGCAAAAATAGCTCAGAAAAGTGAAGAGTTCTAATTAGGGTCAGTTCACGTAATCTCATGACAAGGGGATATTTCCTGTTGAGAAAACATCTGCTCTTAGTCAGGGCTTTCCTTAAAAAAATCCAGCCACATAGCTGTGCACTGATATTAAAGAACTGGTGAGGACAAAATAAAGAACTTTAATGTGTCCGAATGTCCAACAAGAATATCAAAAATTCAATAAAAGTTAACATTCTTCAGTTTAGTACCTTTTGTGGTTACTTGCACCAATATCATTATAACAATATTGGGAAAAATCCCTTGTGTGGAGGGATTTTTTTTCAGAACCAGAAAGACTACTCCATTTCAACAGCATGGTCTGTAGCCACACAACCTTGGTTTGTGATTTTGTCAGGTCTGATAATCTAAATAGGGCTGACTGGGTCAGTATTTAGATGGGAGATCTTCAGGGAATTCTTAGGTACTATAGTGCAGGAAGTACTGTTGGCAATGCAGTAAGTCATACTTTTCTCTGAGTCCAAATTACATTTCTACTCAGTTTCTTAAAGGGCACTGTGCCACTGCTGGAACTGTCTTTAAATGAGAAGTAAAAGCAACCTCCTAACTTCTCCTGGCCATTAGAAACACCATGGTACTTTTTGTAAGAGTAGAAGAATTAACCCATATGACCTGGCCAAATTAATGGATAATTCATGGGGTAACTACCCACCTGCAATATCACATTCAGTTTTAATTGAATAAGATACTCCTTGTATCAAATAGTATAGTGTTAGTCTGTAACCACTTGCAAAAGTGTTTTTAAAAAACTATTCTTATACATACTTTACATGACCTTACAGCTAAATTTTCATTTATATTGTAGTAGCACCCAAAAAGCCTAAATGAAATGGGGCCCTTTGCATCAGGCACAGTACAGACACATGAGATGACATGCATCCTAACACTCTTGGCCTGACCGTTATGGATGAGGCCAAAACAAACCACGCAGTGTCACAGTAAGATTGAGGGGAGATATTCACAGAATACTCCGTATTTTACCCAGGCAGGCAAACCGACAACGAACATCAAATATTCTCCATATTCTCTGTCTAGCAGCAGAGCGTGAGAGTGAGTTAGTTCATATAAATTGTCAGTGTTAGTGGCAATATCTAAATTACATATTCACAATTTAATAGAGTGACTAAAAGTCATTTTTAGGATCAAATATCCCTGCAAAGATACCCTGATGCCCTGATTTATATACATGCAGTATGTATTTCACTACTAATAAAACTTTGCACTTCCAAGCCTTTCCAAGTGCTTTACCACCATTAACGAAACATTCATCAATTTCCCTCTGAGACAAGTATTTTCATTTTACAGGTAGAAAAACTGAGCAGCACAAAGCTTAAGGAAGTTGCCCCTGGACATTCAGTCATAACATGGACAAGGAACAATATTTAAACATTACACCAACGCATAACATTCTTTCAACAAATAATTTCAGTTATGTGAAAAGTAAATATTTGGCTTCCCTGATACTACAAAAAAGAAACATAGCTCTAGCTCTGAAGTAGTCAGGTCTTGGCTGTTGCTCCATTTCAAACTTTTGCAATGTCCTCGGATATAGAGCACACCTAGGAACTCGCAGTGGCACTAAAATCTCTCATGCATTGCAGCTTCCAAGGTGTCCTTGGCACTGTGGCATGTAACTAATGGACAGCTCTATGAGAATGAAACAGAGGGGCAGCAGTATGGAGCAAGGAGGTTGATAGATACTGGCCTTTCCTTCTCATCAGTGAAGATGGCTGTAACAGAAAGATGGTTAACCCCATCCTAAAGTTACACCCCATCAAGCGGAGATGGCTACTCCACAGCTGTTCCTTTAGCCTTTCACTGAGACAGCTGGGGAAGTAGTGTGTTTATTTTAAGAAATTAAATAAAGTACACATGCAGTAACAGTAACTGACTGCAAACATTCTCTTATCATACAAGTGTCATGGCTACAACTGTCATGGATATAAGCAAAAAGTATCTGAAATTAACAGGTGTTCCCTATATCCCAAGGCATTGCAATAACTGAGAGTTCAAATTAATGGAAGATGTGTCTAAATTCCCCACCCTGCTTTGAAAATCTCAACTAAGATGATTCCATACCACAATATGAACTCTTATATCATTGCTGTTGGTGGGCTACTTAAGGGGGTATTTGAAGATTAAGCAAGATAATAATAAGAAAAAAAATGAGGAGAGAAGCAAAGGAATAGTCTGATTTTTCTGTGTATGGGTGGGAACTTAAAAGTGTACGTTCAAATTCCATGACAGGACTATATCACAGATGTACATGTTAAGTCATATATTTAACGCATGCAGAAATGAAAAATACGAAACACACACACACAAGCTTTGAAAATCATAACAATGTGTGTTTGCATTCTCATATTCCATTACATACAAAATACACTTCTAAAAGGTTCTACTTTTTCATCTAGTCCAGTGTCATTGTATTTCCCCTCCATCCCTATCCCAACTATTTCAGCTCTAGACAGCTTACTTAACCATGGAAATCCAAGACTGTTGACATCTCCGCGATATGGCTTTTAGCCATCAATTTGAGATATAGCCACCTATTTCTTAATATTACTTAGAAACAATTTGATTGGGATTTTGGTTTTAAGCAGAACTGACTTTGACTTTATAAAGAGAAATTCTTAAAGGGTCTCTAGTACTTTTATGGAAAAGTTTATATAGAACTATTTAAAAAAAAATAAAGACACACACCTACACCCTACTGACTTTTGCCACAGTAATATACAAAACTGATACGAAAACTAATGTCTACGAACTTTATGCTTTTCTCTGAAAGTTATCTGAACCTCTAGAGGGTGCCATAATGCCATCTGAATAAAAGCATTCTGAAACAAGAAATCTGGCATCAGATTTTCTCAATATAAAGGCAACAGTGCTCACATGGGATCTTCCTAGATGCATAGTTCCAAGGGAGCAGATGTCTTTTGTTAACAAGAATGTATCTAGCATGAAGATACACTAATTGCATTAGCTCTCAGGCAAATCAGTTCACTCAATTGGGATCAAAATGCCCCTTTCTTTTTTGTCTGCAGTCTTAAATAGATTCCCAAAACCACAGTGTGTATTATATTTTTCTTTATAAAGGTATTAGAAAAAAGTTGTTTGTACTTTACTGTAACTATGTAAGTGGAAAATCATGAGCAGTGACAAATTGTGAGAAAAGAAAAAGGGCATAAAGAAAAGTTTAAGTTTTACAGTACTAATACAGGTTTCAGAGTAGCAGCCGTGTTAGTCTGTATCCACAAAAAGAACAGGAGTACTTGTGGCACCTTAAAGACTAACATTTATTTGAGCATAAGCTTTCGTGGGCTACAGCCCAATTCTTCGGATGCATGCAGTGGAAAATACAGTAGAAAGATATATATATGTATATATATTTACACACAGAGAACATGAAACAATGTGTGTTACCATACACACTATAACAAGAGTGATCAGATAAGGGGAGCTATTATCAGCAGGAGAGTGTTTGTAGTGGTAATGAAAATGGCCCATTTCCAGCAATTGACAAGATGATGTGAGGAACTGTGGGGGGTGGGGAGGAGGGGAATAAGCATGGGGAAATAGTTTTACTTTGTGTAATGGCCCATCCACTCCCAGTCCCACGAAAGCTTATGCTCAAATAAATTTGTTAGTCTCTAAGGTGCCACAAGTACTCCTGTTCTTTTTGTAGTATTAATACAGTTTGGAAGGAAAACAAATTAATTTATGGGATTTTAGCCAATTCCACGCTGTTTCCAGATTTTGGAAATTTTTATGTAGGTCAAATAAAGTGCAGTGTTAGGAAAATACAGGCCATAAAAAGTTTTCTTTATTTCTAGATCACTTCGAGTTTCCTATTATAGCAACTTTGGCCATGTACTACAAAGCTTAATCCTGTTCTAAATACGGAACTTAACTAAACCTACAAAAAGTTTAGTGCATTTGACGTGTCTCAGGAAAATGAATCTAAAATTAAAGAAATACATTTAAAGAAAATTATTTTGTATGTAATCCTTCTGCCAACGGGTTTGTACAAAATTTGAAGGCTAGAACATGATCACATTTTTTTTTTTTTTGGCTAACCAAAAGCAAGCCTAAAACCTTTGTGGTCTTTTAATAAACTTTAGCCGGCGTAACCTGCCATTTGTACTTTTCTCCCAGCAATGCTCCCCTTTAATGACATTTCTAGCTCTTTGGTTAAGCTCTTCAAACAACACAACAGTGAGACAAATTGCAAGAGCTGCTCTACTACTTGCTCTGCTGCTTCTGTTACATCACCTATAATTCTAGTGGACTAATCCCATCCCTGGTGAAACTGTTAGGAATTATTTGAGGGAAGGAACGGAAATCACATAGCAGATATCATCTCTCAAAGCATTATTACTGGTACAATGCAGAAGGGAGTGATACACAATACTAGGACAGAACAACTAATATCCAGGACTTAATAGTAACCTTTGAATGTCAATGAATTACAAAACACGAAACTGATACATTAAGTTATTTAATTTCTAAGTTTTTTTTAACATACAGATGCTCCCCGACTTATCCAAGCATTCCGTTCCGGAATGCCTTGCGTAACTCGAATGTTGTGTAAGTTGGAAACATATACCTGACAATGACGCAAAAAAAAGAACCCCCCTCAAAAAAACCCAACTCCTATTTCTAGCTTACGCAACTTTTTCCGTAAGTGCGGCTTGGCGTAAGTCGGATTTGCGTAACCCAGGGGGCATCTGAACACGCATACACCCACAGAAATCAGTACAGACGATTACGTTATTGGATTCCCTATTCTGAAAGCTGGATTTCAGACCTGGAAAGCTTTCTGGTTGCTTCCTATAATTTCAGAAAAGTAGAGAAGCAATCCAGAAATGATGGAGTTTCTTTGCCAAAATGTGTTTCTGCTTTCTATCCTTATTGTAAAACTCCAGTATGAAACAAACAAACAACAAAGTATTCTAGTGGTTTTACTGTGGCAAGTTTCTATATAAAAGCAAACAGAATTCTGCAAGTGGTGTTGAAAAGCAATTCTTGCAGTAGTATTTAAACTGGTAGTTGACAAATTCCCTTTTCCCAAAGATTTTTTTTATTTAGATTACCAATCTTACTGTTGAATCAGCCAATTTACAGATGCCGCAGGAGATGGAGTATCTAGGCAACACTGCTAAGACTGCTGGGACTGCTTCTGAGCAGGAAGCAAAGAAAATGACTCAGTTGTGTAGTTGAAAAGATTAAGCCCTCAAAGAAATTTGTAAAATTTAATTTCCATAACATCACAGAAGACTCAAAGTGCAATAAAAGGGATTCATTGTGTAATTTGACTGACTTCTTTATTATTATAGCAGCAGCATTACAAACAGAAGTTGGTGAATCAGGAGTTAATATAGCAGCTATTTCAAATCAAGTCAGTCCAAAATTTGTTTTTAAATTGTCAGCCAGTACATTGTGAAATTCATCAGCTGTTACCATCTAACTTTATCTGATCATGGACATCTATTTTCTGGTTATTAGTTGAATGACTTATTTATATCTTTGATTTTTAATTAAGTTTTTATTGCTGTAAAATAAAATGATGATTACCTGTAACAAAATACAAGCATTTATTTCCTTTTAACAATAACACGTGCTTGCTTTTTTCATGTGACTTCCTGTTACCAATGCATTATACTACACTGGGGTTAGATACAGATCTATATTGGGATAACAAAAACCATTTGCCAGTTTCATTTTCTGGCTTTCATGCATTATTAGCACCAATGTGGAAGAATGTTTAAATCCAAACATTTTTTTTTAAGTCTTTAAAAGCATTTATATTAGATCTTCTAGAACCCTTTTTAGAAAAAATAAATGTATGCCAAAACTATGACAGTTTTGTTCATGTTATATTGCTATGCACTAAGGAAAGTATATTGTGAAACTACATGAAAAGGAACCATATATACACCAATGCCAAAAACTTAGCTGACTCATCCTGACATGAAATTGTTCTTGTTTCTATTGGATTACAGTAACTCCTCATTTAACGTCATCCCGCTTAACGTTGTTTCAATTAGGGAACATGCTCGTTTAAAGTTGTGCAATGCTCCCTTATAACGTCGTTTGGCTGCCTGTTTGTAAGATTCTGTGGAAGAGCAGCGACTTTACAAGAGAGCATTGCACAAGTTCCGCTTCGCCGCCTTCTCCCCCCCCGCCCCAGCGCTTAGGACTTTCTGGGAGGGAGGGGCAAGACCGTGGAAGCGCCGTGTCTCTGCTCTTTCCCCTCCCTCCCAGAAAGTCCTAAACGCCACTAACCAGCTGTTTAGTGGTGCTTAGGATTTTCTGGGAGGGAGGGGGAGGAGCGGGGAAGTGCTGCGTCTCCGCTCCTCCCACTCCCTCCCAGAAAGTCCTAAGCGCCGCCAAACAGCTGTTTAGTGGTGCTTAGGACTTTGGGAGGGGGGAGGGATGTGGCCCTGGAGAGGAGGTGGAGTGGGGGTGGGAAGAGGTAGGCCTGGAGTGGAACGGGGACAGGAAGAGACGGGCATGGAGCATTCCCGGCAAAGTCCGAGCCTGTTCTTCTCCAGGGAAGCTGCTGCTGCAAAGGTGCTTCCTAGCGTCCTTGCCTGCAGCGGGCTGTGCCTGTGTGGGGTAAGCCAGGGGCACTTCCCAACCACAGTACAGTACTGTACAGTATATAATGCCTTTTTTCTGCCCCCCAAAAATTTCCTTGGAACCTAACCCCCTGCATTTACATTAAATCTTATGGGAAAATTGGATTCGTTTAACTTTGTTTCACTTAAAGTTGCATTTTTCAGGAACATAACTACAACGTTAAGTGAGGAGTTACTGTAGGTCTAGAAATCAGGAGATATTTTAGCTGGTTTGATGAGAAATGAACCCTGACTTCCGTTTTGTGGTTTAAACTGTTAACTAGTTAGATGCCTCTGAACGTATACAGCACATTGGGAAATCCCTATTTTTGGTATCTTTGTTAAAAAACAAAAACAAACAAAAAAACCCCACCTAAGCTGCAACACATACAGAACCAAGAGGAGCCATGTTGTAGAATTTGGGTCCAGTTTGCCATGGAGTACATTTTGTGTGTGTGTGTGCGAGTGTGCATGTGTGCGAGAGACATGAACTCATGGTTTTAGGTATATACATGTTTTTCCCACATGCATGAAATGTGATTTATGCACAAAAGGTCGTGTTAAGTCCTCAACAAGCTGGACATACATTCTGCAGCAAGGCCCCTTGCTTCTGTGACACTCTGGGACAGCAGCTTAGAAATTCTGCTGCACTTATTTAAAGTTTTAAAAACGGAGGTTTTTACTGATTCTGGGAACTCAAATCAGTACATGGAAATTGTCAGGGAATTAGCTGGAGCTTTTGCCACTGAGAAAGGTATCGCTCTTGGTACACCAGAAGGCCTGGGAGGCCATTCAGGATCATACAGTGAACTCATTAAGCTGGATATGTTCATTCAAATGCTGAGCATAAAAACAGAACATCAACTCAAGACTTCAGAGTTAAAACAGGGAGATGGATATGGACAGTTCATGCACCTCAGACCTACTGTTTGAGGCTAACTCAGGAAAACAAAACTGTCAATGCACCCAATTTACATCTGGAAGATTTTCTTTTCACCCATCATGTCTAGAACCTTTTTTTTGATTAATAATTCAAATCACAT